CAATCATTTTGGCTACAGAAAGGCACGGGTGCACAGTGTACTGTGAGATTGTTGTCCTTGCACCTGTATATGGTATCTTAGCGTTGGACATTCTGATTAAGCTTCCCATGCGCAGCTCTCAGCTTCGTCTGACCTCTCTACCCTTAGTTATATACTTTAATACTACTTAGACAAAAGAGGTGTCTTGCCAATAGTTACATCAATCATTTTGGCTACAGAAAGGCACGGGTGCACAGTGTACTGTGAGATTGTTGTCCTTGCACCTGTATATGGTATCTTAGTTTTGGACATTCTGATTAAGCTTCCCATGCTCAGAGTGGCTTTGGCCATCCAGTGTACTATCAACAAGGCCTTCCATACTATGAGTTGCCTTGATTATCCAGGGACCCTGGCATGGTTCCTATAATGACCTTTTTCCCTTAGCTACACCACCTAGGTATAAACACCAGATCCTTAGAGAGGAGTAGTTAGTAGGTTAACTTGGGAGATCCATGCCTCTTTTTCTCTGCTTTCACTACCATTTCCACAGCATGTGAACTTTTGCTGAGCATGTCTCCTCCCTAGTCTCACCAGCAGTCATCAAACCCTTCCTTAGAATTATATCACCAACCAGGCACTTGTGAGCCAGCAGACACAAATTGTGGCATCTCAGAACCTCAGCTTTCTTCTGAGTATCTGTATCCCAGAGCCACTAATCTTCACCCACCCCTGAGACACTTAAAATTACCTCAAAGAAAAGAAAATTCATGGTTTTTGAGAAACTTGCTTTCCGGAAAGAGATACAAATTTCATGAGAAACAACAAGCCCTTGCCCTCACTTGCTGTGGAATGCTCTTAGATTACTCTTTCCAGATAACTATATCTATTCATCTTTCTGATTTCAATCTGAATTTTCATTTCTCAAGAAAAAGCAATGACATGAATATACTAATTTTCAACATTTAACAGAGCTTCCATCATAGATTGTCGATGATTTGATTTGCCTGCAGGCTTTACAATGACAGCTATTACACTGTGTGTCTTGACACCTAATATCCCCCATATATTCAGTGTGCATCTAAAACATACAGTCGATCGGCTATCAACATTTATTCCATATTTCTTCTAGTTTCCCCTCTTGGAAGGATAAGCATCTTCATTTTCCTTAATCTCCAGATCTCCAAATAAGATTGAGATTATGCAAACAAGATGCTCTCAGGCAAGGCCTGGGTTTGGAGTTGGTTCCAGTAGAAAGAGAGGCAATAAAGAGTATGGAGTCAGCAGGCCCTGTCCTGTGGGGGACTTTCTTTTCCCCAGCTTGTAGCTAAGGTATAGTGGTCATAGAAGCAGTGGATGGAACAGGAGCAAGCGATCCCCATAGCTTCCTGATACCTGCCACAGGGAACCCATTCTTTAGTTAGTCCATGGTAGTCCACCGGGAGTCACTCCTGTACAGTCTATGTACAGTCTTCTCCCCCAATCCTTTCTGTTATTTATCTATTTTCTAATACCTATAACCAAACTCTGATGGACCCAGTATTCAGAAAATATTTGTTGAACAAATCAATAGACAAATGAAAGGGTAGATACCACCTGACTTTAAATAAATTTTCTTAAGCCTGTAATAGATGAGATAACTTGCACCTCTTATAAAATTATATCCTAATAGTCTATTTTTGTTCTTCATAAATTATATGTTGCAAGCATACATAAAGTAAGTGATGAGATAGACTGCAGCATTTGAAAACTTGTATTGCCTACACTACAGAAAAAAACTAATAGTCCTTTCACCTCATATTGAAAATAATGCTTCATTCATACTCCCTTTATAACTATTAAAGCTAAAAAACAGACTAAAACAGTTTTTTCATTAAATGTATTACAAACTAATAAACAACAAGTGAATAGGACAAATTTAATAAGAAGTATGAATGAGGCATTCCTCAGATAGTACTAGTTAGAAATTCAATACAATGTCATTGCCTAACAGTAAAGCAAATTCATTAAGAACTGACTTTGGTGGCCTTTCCACTTTCAGATTAATTCATCATCTTCCCAAGATGTATCAGTTACCATTCTGTCACAATAACTTTCTGAAAATGACCCTGTATGTGACCTGAATGAATGGATTCGGTTGCCAGAATGATTTAAGAAAACAAGTTTCCAGAGCATTTCATGAGAGACACGTTGACTAGTTCACAGGGCTTTACCCCATAGAATACCGACAACTTTTTCCAATAACTTTTCACTTGGAAAAGGTAATCTTTGTCTTTCAATTCACAGTGTGATTTAAAATTGAAAGGCATTTTCTTTAAAATGTATTCCCTATTACACAAAAGCCAAAAAAAAGCAACAATATGTGAAAGTCTTCCCCTCCTGGATAAGGATTTATAAAACTTCCACTGAACAATGAGATTCTCAAAATTCAAGAAATTAACAAAGTGTGTTGATATGGGGATTTCTATGATTTGGATATTTCTATGTAGATTTGTGTCTAGCACAATCACTTGTCAAATGTGATTAGATGTAAATATTAAGTGGTAAGATACCTCATGTCTCTTAGAGACTAATGATAAGTGGTGCTTATGGTGGTGTCTCGTACATGTCAGCACCTATTTCCACTGTCTTAATCATAATAAATAGTACTTATATGCATACGGAAATATAGTAGTTCTGTGTATACATGTTACTCCTATACAATAGTATTTCATGTACATAGAGATGAGTTTTTATTGAAATAATGTTGAAATTACAATATGGCTTTGTTATAACATCTCCACTATTCTCTGGACTGGCATGTTCTATATGCAGCTTCGATTCATTTGTAATTATTCATAATTATTTTTGTTCGAGGAATGAGTCTGAATTCTTAATGAAGAGGGTAAAAATCACTAATACCCCTTCTCTGCCATCAAAAAGACATACACTTAAGGAATAATCTGTATTTGATGAGCACACCCCTGGTCCTGTCAGACCTTCCAGTGTTCAAGTTCTGTCTAGTTCTAGGCTGAAGAACTACAAGGGTCCCAAAGAGCCCAGGTCTGAACTCAGTGGACCCTCTGGATGGAATAGGCCAATTGGCATGTATGCCAGCTCCAGACAGGTCCCTAATGGACATACATTATTGTTATAACATTTTGATATAGTAAGAAAGGCATCAAAATTAAATAGAATAAATCACTTCATTGGTGTTTCCACTCCACTTTATACTTAGCAATCACAATGTACTATTGATATTATTTACAAGTATATCTTCCTGTACAGATATTTACAATATATCTTCCTGTACACATGCTGGGCAGGGAGAATGGTTTGCTAGCCTTCCCATTACCAGCATCTAGAGCCATGACTGACACAGAGTATCCTATATAATAAAAGGGTAATAAGCAAATTGTCCCTTCGACCAGGAGTTTGAGCAGAGTTTGACCAGGGGCTGGGGCCGGCCCACCAACCTCCCGCGTCTCCCCCTCCCCACCCTGCCCAGCCCAGCCCAATCAGCCTGATTGGGGCAAGCCAGCCGAACCCCATACATGCATGAATTCATGCACCCAGCCTCTAGTAATATAAATAAATGCTTGTTCTGTTCAAGTGAGTCAAAGGGAAACAATTATTTTGGTGATTAAAACTTGTTCCATAACTGAAATAACTCTGTGCTTCCACAAGTAGAAATCTGCAAAAATGTATCTATATATTATC